TTACACTGACAGAGGAATTGGTTCTGAATTTTAGGAGAAAAATATTTTAAAATCTTAATATTTATTTGACCCTTTTGCACATCTTCAACAAAAGCCTGTAATTAGTAAAACATCTTCTGCACTATGAGGAAGCCAATCTTGACATCAGTTAGTGCCACATTAAATATGTTTTGGTAAATTGAGGCCACAAAAAAGTGATTCTTTAATCTACAAAGGAAATAACCCATATACATGCATGATCTTGAAGTTTTTGCATGCACTGATTTTTCAAAAATGTGCTCCTATTTTTTTTCTTTAATGCTCAAAATCATGTAGTGTCTTAGCTTCTTGAGTTCCTTGGATGCATATAGTGGCTACAGAAAGAGAATAAAATAACTGATTTTTTAATTCCATAGGTTCCATTTAGATATCCTTATGTTTATTTTATGTTCCACATGTATATGTTCTAGATAGTTTGATTACAGCTCTCAGCTCAGCATTGAAAGGTATAGTGATGGTTTTACACAAAAAGAAAAAGAAATGGTTAATTCAATAAAAAAGTAAAATGTTTAGTGTTTTTAATATAACCCTAGTCCAACCAGTGTAAATTGATATATCTTAGCTGAGTAGAGTGACATTTCAAATTTTGGAAAGTGTCACGATATCATACAAAGTTTTGTTTAGGAAGGGTGTGGTCAACAGGAAATAAATACAAACGTGAAATAATCAAATAAAAACTGAGCCTGTTGTGCTTAAGCCCACATCTGTAGCTTTTATGAGAATGGCAGTGATTCTAAATACAGTAATTCAGAAATTAAATGAAAAGAATCTTACAAATGCAGACTATAACTGGGAAAAAGAGTAAAGTGAAGATGTGAAGTTATCTGTGATTTGTATGGGAATTCTGATCTTTGTCATTTTAGGTGCTTTCCCAGGAGAGTCCTTGACACTAATTTTAAATATTGGCCACAACTTCCCCCCAAAAAAATAACACACAAAAAATCTTACACTATTTGAATCAATGTTGTACATTCCAAAGAAAACATATGTGCCCTGTGGATGATGACTACAGACGTCAGCTTTCAACCAGTACTCTAGGGGGTGCTAAAATGTCTAATTTGTTGTGAGCAGAATTGGCTGCAGACATGTACTAGTTCAAATAAAAGGGCTGAATGTAGAAATTCAAGCCATTTCCTTGAATCTTGCCCACTCTGTTGTCACAAATATCCCATGAAATAATTTGAGGTCTAGTATGGTAGATCGATTGGTTGATTGACTGACTGATTGTGTTATATCTGAAGATGCTATCTGAAGAAAGGGGTCCATTTGCTTTTTAAGTATGGTTTTCTAAGTTGCTGACTTTAGGAGTTAGATGCCCAAGTCACCACTTCATAAAATACTTGTACATAGGATTTTCATTCAAAAGCCAGAAATGAACTTGATTTAATATCCAACAGTCAAAATGCAGCCAAGTTTTTAGTGGTAAAGACAACATACCTTATTTAATATCTATCTTGCCATAAATATAACTTTTTGAAAGATAAACAGATTTATGACCCTACTTGTCTGTTGGGTTCTCATTTCAGGGAAATTGTAGCAGTTGTAATGAGGTAGATACTTAACATATGGTTCACTTTTCTTTAGTGAAGCCATGAATCTGCTCATTCAGAGTTCAAAGACATGGGAAACACCTTTTAACTTGAAAAGGTGGAGGCTAAATGTTTGAAAGATGGGATGAGTTTTGTGGTTCAAGTGCCCCCAGATTCTTATTTTCTTGACGTGGAAAATGGGGCAGAATGGATAAGTGGTCTGTCTACATGTATTTGGTTAGTGAGCAAATCAGCTAAAGCCTTTCACGGCCTCCATATGTATATCTGTAACTAAGAAAGTTGAACTGCACTAAACATTCTATTGACTAAAGTTTCAAAGTAAAAATATGTTTATTGTGTTTATTACTAAACACAATTTTGGTTAAGAATTGTGAAAAATATCTAATAATTATGGTCACATTTCTTGAACACTTACATGCATTTTTTAACTGAATCCTCACAATAATGTAAGGAGGTAAGTGTTATTCCTCCACAATTTACAAAACGTGGATACTAAAGCTTAGAGAGGTGAATTAGCTTGCACTAAGTCAGAGATCTAGAGGTAGTTTAGTTGGTATTTTCAGGTCATGCTGCTCAACTTTTCAGCACTGCTCTTCAGGACTGCCTCACTGCCCACCTTCCTTACATTCCAACTAGGTTTTACATGCAGAGAAGGAAGAAGAAAAGTGTGATTGTGATGCTTAAACATTGGTAGGGTCCAAATTCATTTTTAATCTTAATTTTTATTTTTGAACACTAGATGTAATTGTTGAAAAGGTTTTTGTTGTGCATTCTCAAAAATAGTGACCATACACCATGGCAAACTCGTAAATATCAGTACTGCCACCTAAATTGGTGCCCTTGTCCCACTGTATTGAAATTGTTCATTCATTGAGTTCCTATACTGTAGTGTGAAAGTATAGCGGAAGACAATTCTGCTTTTATCAGTGGTTGACTCACAACAGGTGTTCAACACATACTTGAATAAATGAATCATCGTAGAATCAAATACTTCTCTAGAACTAGATGATGTATGCCTTCTCACAAACATTGATTCAATTTTCATTACTCTAAAGTTTTACTAGATTTTATGTTTGATTTTCATCCCCCAAATGTTCATCTCAATTAAAAAAAATCTTATAATACAACTTTCCATAGTATAAATATTTCATGATACTATCATGTAATATTTTCTCAGGATAAACATAATTTAAACTCCAGCCAATTTGAAAGGCCACTTAGGAAGATAACTAATTTTCAGAGGTACACAATTAACCCTGTTGATGTGTAGTATATATAATCTGTATGAAGAATCACTTCTGTCATTTGCATTGTGAAGAAAATTTAAGGGAAGAAATAAAAACCTCTGGATAATTCCTTACACAATGAGAAATATATAATTTTGTTCGAGGGCAGCTTGGGATTGATTATCTTCTACCCTGAGGGCATTATCTATAGCATTCTTGTAAAACTCACTTGGTTTGCTTAACTATGGTAGAATTAATTCCATAATATTATGCATACCTCCAGACACACCAAGTGCTGAAGTCCTTGGTAGAAGTGAATTTTCAATAATGGCTATGCTTTAACTCCCTGAGGAACAAGTTCTTGTATTTTTCCCTGAAAATTGCAATCATTTGTAGCAGTAATTTTCTATTATTCTGTGTGTCCACCATTTAAGCATCTAATCTGATGGATTGATATTAAAATACAATTATGTTAGATAGTTGGAATTAAAAGACCATTTTATTTGCCAGCCCATTATGGCTTAAAACCAAATCAAACATAGTAAAACTTAACATAAAAAAATCATGAATCAACCAATACCTCTTCTATTCTCTAGATTCAACAACTTCATAGAAATTAGAGACTATATCATTAAATTCAATGTAAGTTTCAAATAACATATGGATTGATTGGCAGCTAAAATGCTAATAAACTGTGATAAGAAGTGAAGTTTCCATAGCTACAATCCAGGTTATGGAACATGATTATACTTCTAAAAAAAATCAGAATAAAAATGATTTGTAATGGCAGAAATAAAAGTCTATGACTTCAGCATTAGATAGTTGGGCTGATGTTTTACAAATATTTTGTAGCCTTTTGAAGAAAGTAAAAAGATGTAAAGTAACATATAATTTTTAAATGGCCAACTTTTCCCCCTGTTAATTGAGTTTTGCTTTAGATTTTTTAATCTGACTCAATGACACCAATTTCCTATACTACAATGAATATGCAATTGAGGACATTAAGCTTTATTAAGCTAGAAAGGTAGAATACTTACCTTGCATGTAATTAATTACACTTAAGTTCTGTTTTTGATTGATTAAAGCATAATTTCTCCATTCCCTGGCTTTATTGATTTCTGTGATTCATTGGATACCTTATCTTCAAGGCATGATGATTTGCATAGCATGGTGGTCAGCCACCCACTCATTCATCTATACTCATACATACATTTGAAATTGCTATTGCTGCCAATCTTCCTCCTACACTTTTATTAGAATAAAATTAGCTAGCATTATTACATGTTTACTATTGTTTAACTCCATGCTAAGTTCTTTATAGCCATCACGTCTCTTAGTCTTCACATTAGCAAGTGGTAGGAGAGCTTATTCCTATCATTTTATAACTAAGCGTAACATATATTGGTTCAAAGTCCTATGTTGTTGTTTTGATTTGATTTTGGTTTTCAGTAATCCTTTCTGTGGCCGAGGTTTTTAAACCTTCATGTAGAGATGATAATCACAGTTGTCACTGCTTGAATTTCCAGACTGGTCAGGATTAAATGGGCCTTGTGAGTTGTCATATCAGGCCATCATAGAGAACCATTTTGAAAAATAATGAGCATCCAAAGGAATTGTTGCCAAGACAAATTATATTAGAAATGTGTATATCTTTGATGACTTCTATCTTTTTCTTGGATAGTTCAGATTCAAATAAACTTAATTTAAAATGTAAGGAAAGCACACATGATAAAAATGTTTCTTCCAAATAATTATATAATTTTATTTTAAATTGAACAGTAAAATCTTTATGGTGATCAGAAATAAATGAAGCTTTGTTCATCTATGTCTTGTTGGTATACAAACACATTTTTGTGAAAGAAAGATATGACTCTAATTACATAAACCAATTGTTTATCTTCAGGTACTTCACTATATTTGCAGCCTTATGTTACCTTTCAGTGCAAAACCTTTGTTGTTTTTCCTGCTAAGTTGGTTACTTTGAGGAACTGTTTGCTACTCAGGCAACATTCATTTCATATTTATAATCAAATATTCTGATGGTTTATAATTTCTAATGAATCATTGTCTCCAAATTGATTCTACCATAATCATTGGAGTTTGGGGGCTGACATGATATTAAAGACAATAAACAGAACCTTGTGTCCCCATGTCTTCTCATGCTGCAGGGAGTGTTCCTTTTTACATGAGATCTTCCAAGATGATGAGTTCTAATCCTGAGGAAGACCCTTTGGACACATTTCTCCAGTATATTGAGGATATGGGGATGAAGGCCTATGATGGCTTGGTTATTCAGAATGCATCGGACATCGCTCGAGAGAATGATCGCTTGAGGAATGAAACAAACCTGGCCTACTTGAAGGAAAAGAATGAAAAACGACGAAGACAAGAAGAAGCAATAAAACGGTAAATATAAATAAAAGTGTTCTGAGTTTTGTACACGTGAGAAAATCTGTGAGTTGTGTAAAGGCTGAGATGTCATCACCTGGTTGAGAAAGGGACTGTCAAAGGTAGACTCTATGAGACAAAGTGAAATGGCTCCTCAGCTATGACAAAAGCATAATCCATCCTACTGACAGGAGCCTCATGAGTTACCAAAAGTTATTAATTTGAGTGTTGTGCTTGTGGAGATGCAGATGGGATGGGGAGATAATCCAGTTTCTTCTAAATAAAAGTTCATACTGAACAGTCTCTTGATTAAAGCCAAAGAGAACTCACAACACTTCAATAGCTGATGCTTGATGACAATTCTCACCTTTAACAGGTTCTGTTTATAGTTCTTACCTTATGATAGAGTTCATCTTATCTCTAGATGATAAAAAGACTCATCATTGTTTAGAATTACGTGAGCCTCTAAAACACTCAGTGTGTGCGCTCTGTATAGAATTTTATGATTATTATAGCTCTCACCTGCTACCAAGTATCCAAGGTTTGTTCAAATGAAATGACTTTTGTGCTGCAAAACCTACCAGCTACAAGTCAGGGAGCACTAGATTGCAGCTTTCAAAGTGAGGCTAAGTTTCCTAGGGCACTGAGACCAAAAGAAATATAGACATCTTTTCATTTTTCAAAAGAATATTACTGTGTGTGTGTATGTGTGTGTGTGTGTGTGTGTGTGTGTGTGTGTGTGTTTTAAGGGGTACAGGTTGATGGAGTTCTATTTCTTCAATGGAGACCATTTACTAAGTGCATTGATGCAGAATTTAGATAATTAATCCATATCTATTAGCTGAATAAATGAATCAAAATAGTGAAACTATTTTGATAGTTAATGGATTTTAAAAAAAATCAAACTTAACATTAATGCTTTTGCTTACTCTCTGAACATTATGATATTTAGGAAAATAAAATATTATTTTAAGGAACTGTTCATGCTTATAAAGAAGCCATGTAAGGACGCACCACTCCGATTACTTAATTACAAATAACATTTATGAGAAGTGTACTGCCAGAGATGCGAGCCTTATAACTATCTGTTGGAAGAGAATTCTAAGCAGAGTTCAATGTATTCCATGAAGGGAACAAGGTAAAATGTATGGACCAAGGCAAAGATTGGAAGGATGTAAGTTCAGACTGGTAGTGGGCCACCAGCTAATGTGGCCTTATAAACTCTTACGTTTTATTTTGAAGGAGAAAAACATTCATAGAAGTTTTTAGCAGAGGTGTAACATGACCTAACTGAATGTTTTACAAGGATTATTGTTTTCTTTGCATTGAATAGGTGGGTGGGGCATAGGTGAATGCAAGAAATCCAAAGAGAACGCCTTTGCAATAATTTGGGTGAGAAATGATGATGGTTTGGACTAGGTGACATAAAATGATCAAATTATGGGCATCATCAGAATTTTCTAATTGATGAGATGTAGGTATTCAGGAAGAGAAAGAAATTAAAGATGGTTCTCAAGTTTGTTTGTTTTTGTTTTTTTGACTACATTGAGCTTTTTCCCCCTTGAACAATTAGAAGAATGATGTTCCACTTAATGAAATAATCAGAACTAGAAGAGAAGTAAGTTTGGGTTAAATGGTGGGGAAATAGGAGCTCAGCTCTGGCAAGCCAATTTTGTAAGCCTTTTTAGATATCCAAGTGGAGAATTCTAAATAGGCAGTTGGATCCAGGATTCATGATGGAGATCAAAGCTGGTGTATAAGCATCCTATTCTAAAGAGCTAACAAGCATGAGCCTAGTTGAGAATACCTAGGACCAAAAATTAGATAAGGATAAGGACAATAGGAATTGTTCCTTGGGCCACTTGACTGCTTACTTGAAAGGAACAGTAGAAGAAACCAGTAAGAACAGCCAGTGGAGAGGAGAAGAACCACAAAGGAGTGACATTTCTGAGTAAAATGACAAAAGTGATTAAAGAAGAGAGTGTGTGTGTGTGTGATGTAACAGATAGACTAAATATGTTGAAGTCTGATAATTGACCACTGCCTTTACCACATTGGTGTTGTTGACTGGAGCAATTTCTTTGGAGGGCTGGGGGGGAAATCATACTGGGATTGTGTTCATGAAAAAGTGGGAAGAAAGGAATTGAAACAAAATATGAAGAACTACCTTGAAGACTGAGTTCAAAAATATTTTAAAAACATGAAGGGTAGTTGAAGAAGAAAGTGGGGTTTATGGTGAAAGCTAATTTTTCCAGTGTTTTTTCTTTAACAAGAGAAGAAAAACACCTTATTTAAAATACTAATATGGCAATAGAAAGGGAAACACTAAATATTTATGAGAGGAAAGGAAAATTATTGTAATTATGTCTTTGAGTAGCTGGGAAAGGATGGGATCTATAGTATCTCAGATAGGAGCATAGGCTATTTGGCCATTGTGGGAGAAGGGATGTCACAATATGTGGATGACTGATGAATACATGAATGAGTAACCCTGCATAGAAAGGCCCCACACCTGGCTCATCACATACAAAACACCATTTTATTATTGTACTCATACTTGATATATGTGCCTGGAATTGAAGGATGCTGTAGTGTTTTGCTATCAATACCTCTTCTCATGGTTTCCTATAATCTCCCTCAAATATTTTTCTGGAAGCCTAATTCAAAGTGCAAATATCTTTGGAAGGGAAAAATACTAGTAAAGCCTCCTAAATTGTGGAGACTTTTTAAATGTCTTTCATTTTTAAAAGCAGAACCCATGTACAGCATGAGGACATAGCAGTCTCTGGAATCATTGGGGGAGGGGTTGCAGAGAAAAATGTCAAAGGAGCCAAATGTTTGGTGATTGGACAGGAGGAGAAGACTAAAGTGCATGTTTTATAACAAGCCTGGCGGTGTGTACTCAAGTTGTCCCATCTCAGTAGCCATTGCAATGTCCAAATTCAATTTAATTTTGTTCATATGGTGACCAGTATTCTGAGGTTCTGGCATAAAATAATATGTTAAAATATATAATAATCTTCTATATTATAGAAATCTTCACAGTATATTTTTAGAATTGCTTCAACATTCCCAATAAGAAATTTATTTTTAATATTTTTTAAAACCCCATAACAAGATTCTGGTCACACAGGCATTTTAGGGTTTCAGGGATGACAACAGAAGCAGATACCCTCATCTAAATTCCACAGGTATTTTAATATTTTTAACATGCAATTTATGTCAAGTTGTAGAGGAAATTCAATGTGACATTAATGAACACAGTCTAATCAATTAAAATTCTTTATCATGTCTGCAAATGCCTTCTTTAGTATATAGTATGATTTAATATATAGGCTACAAATGCTGGAAATGTAAGGATGGGCATGTTTGACCTTGAAAAGGCATTGATGATAATTCTCTGTGAAATATGCCAGTTGCAATTTCAGAAATGTGCAGACTGCCAAGGATTGCTTAAAAAATGGAAATAGGATTTCGTATGATTGACCTTCTGGATCACATATGTGCTGAAATGCCTTTTGTGCTGAAGCTGAGAAGCTTAGAACACTGAGCTCTTAGAAAAAGAATATCCTGCCATAGCTGGTTTGGCTCAGTGGATAGGTGTCAGCCTGTGGACTAAAGGGTCCCAGGTTTGATTCCAGTCAAGGGCACATGCCCGGGTTTCTGGCTGGATCCCCAGTGGCATGCATGCAGGAGGCAGCTAATCAATGATTCTCTTTCATCATTGATGTTTCTATCTCTCTCTCCCTCCACCTTCCTCTCTGAAATCAATAAAAAGTATATGTTTTAAAAAAGAATATCCTCAGTGTTCTAAGTCACTTAGGCTTTCTAAACCCAATTCCTTATTTCTGAACTGATTTGAGCCACATGTCAATATGAACTTTCTTGTTTCTTCACTTTCACTTCTCAAATGAGATTTTACCAAAAAGTCTTGTGGGTGAAAAATTCTAAATAAATAAGAAGACACTGTTAGTATTTTTCTTAACAACTCCAAATAAAAATTGGCGAGAAAGAGAGAGAAAGGCTTAAAAGAGAAAAGTTAATGGAGAATAAAAACTTGTTTCAATAGCTCATCATTTCTGCTATTTTAAATCCTAATGGCTTTGTGCAGGCACGGTTAAATGAGATTACTTTTTATTAAAAGCCTATACGAAAACAAATACACATAACGTACAGCTTCAAACAAGTGAGCTCCTTTTAGATGGGTTACAAAACTCTGATTTGTTGGATGTGTCTGGGTGAAAAGGGATGTTTAAGAAAAAGGGAAGATGGGTATATTGAATCATTAACTCAGCACAAGCACCAGCCATTAAAAAGGAAGCAACTGGCCAATGAGGACAGAATCTGGCCACAAACAACCTGTAAGGCAATATCTGTGTGCAACTGTGAACATAAGGCCTGATGTAGAGGTTCACTATTTACAGGTAACACCTTGTTTACATTATCAAATAAGGATGTTCACTGAGGGGGAGGAGCAATCAAAAGACCATCTGGTATACCAAAACATGCTTAAGTTTGAGGTTTCCTTTAAAGTAAGTTTTTCTTTCTGGATTCTGAAACTAGTCTCTTCACTGTTTCATTTTACCATGTGCCATAGTATCTTAAAAACTATACGGTGGTTAGCAAAGGGAAAGAGGGGTGGAGGGAGGTAGACAAGATTTTCCTAACTTTATTAACCAATGTCAACCCCAATAAATTTCATAAAATTTTAAAAATATGGAGCCCAGTCAGTGTGGTTCAGTGTTTGATCATCGACCTATGAACCAGGTCATGGTTTGATTCCTGGTCAGGGCACATGCCTGGGTTACAGGCTGGATCCACAGTAGCGGGTGTTCAGGAGGCAGCCAATCAATGACTCTCTCTCATCATTGATGTTTCTATTTCTCCTTCCCTCTTCCTTCCTTTATGAAAAGAAAATAAATATATATTAAAAAATAAAAAGACAATAAAAATACAAAAAATATTTCTTAAAAAATAGCTATAAAATTTGTTCCCAGTACATGTCTTTCTGAGTATGT